AAGCAGTGGTATCAACGCAGAGTACTGCAGAATTAAATACCAATTTGATGAAGAGCTCGATGGTTTATCTTATAATCGTAAAACAATGAATAAAAAACCAATGGGATATTTAGATGTCATCAGAAACAGAAGAAAATAAGAATGTTGAATTAACTAGAGAAGAATTAGAAAAGCTAACTCCAGAACAGTTACAGAAAATCAAAGAAGCTCAAGAAGCAGAACAAGCTGCAGTACTTGATTTAGGTACACTTCCTGGTGATTATTTCTTAAATGCTAGAACTAATTTCTTTGAATATAATAATGTTATTTGGATTGCAGATGTAATTGATAGAATGCAAGGTTTAGGTGTAATTCAGAAGTTGTTATTCTTAGCAGCACAAATTGAAGATAAAACCAAACCTATTAAAATCTTTGTATCTTCTCCAGGTGGTGAATGTAATGCAGGTTTTGCAATTATTGACTGTATGGAAGAAGTTAAAAAGAGAGGTATTACTATTGAAACTGTAGCAATTGGTGATTGTTGTTCTATGGCATCAGTTATTTTATCTGCTGGTTCTAAAGGTCATCGATATGTATATCCATCTACAAGAATTATGATTCATGAATCTGGAGTAATGGAGACTGGTGGTAAATTTTCAGATATGAGAACTGTTACTAAGGAATTACAGATTTCCACAGATTTAATGGCTAAGATATATGCAAAGGCAACAGGTAAGACTGTTGATGAGTGTAGAGAAGCGATGAATCATGATAATTATATGAGTGCTAATGAAGCAAAGAAATTTGGTTTAGTTGATAAGATTAAAGTTCCACTTGTATTAATGGGTCCAAATGGATAAGTTATTTTATACAATTAGTAATACGAATGATATAAAAGCAGAATATGAAGCAATCACAAATCCAAAGCTTAAATTAGTATTTGGATTTATGGTTGCTACCATGTTCCGTTTTGGATTGATTAAGATAGATGAAGATTTTGGAGCAAAACTTTATATAGAAATAGTAAATGGTCATGATACTATAAAAGATGTTACAGATAAAATATATGATTTTGTTTGGGAAAAAGTAGTTAATGACGCTATTGATGCAATTGAAAAGGAAATAAATGAATAAGTTTGATGAAATAGTTGATTATTTATGGGATCATTGTAAGCAAGTTGCTGACAATTCATTTATGAATTTTTTGGAAGTAATTAATAGTGAACAGTTTGAACCTCAGTCAGAAGTTATTATTAAGAGAATAAATTCAAAGTATAATTTTGAAGATTATTTTAAAAATAAAGAAACACTTCAAGAGTTGATGAATATAAAAGCTAAAGAACCAGATAAATTTTATGAATGTGTATTAGCTGGTTCAAATTGGATGAATTTGATGACAAAAGTTGCAGATATAAATATACAGGGTCAAATAATCCTAAATACTGAAGATTTATTTAGATCTTTTATAATACATTTAGGTGACAGGTCTAAATAATTTGTTATATTTTAAACTATGGAAAACACTATGGAAAAAGACTTTTACGATTTTTTACATCATAATAATATAAAGACAGTGAATGGTAATGGTACAAAGAAACCAGTTGAACAAACTAAAGGACGTCCATTATCAGCAGAGGAATATATACTTCCTCCATCAAAACCACGTCCACAAAGGGTTGTAGAATCTAGTGAACCTCCTTTACGTTCTCAAAGACCTACTCCAAGACCACCATTTGTACCACAGCAACAGAAGCCAGTTATGCCTAAGCCTCTAAATGAAGCTTATAGTATGATTGAGTCTATGAAAAAGAAGATGGAAGGTATATTCTATCGTTATGGTATGATTGGATTGGAAAGATTAGATGAGGCTTTGGAAGATGTAATTGAAGAGATTATGAATCCACAGCCAGTATATATTGAGCGTGAACCTGAGCCAGTACCAGTAGTTAATGAACAACCAAAACCAAAGCGTCGTAAGCCAAAGCGTAAGCCTGTTGTAAAAAAGGTAGTTGAAGAACCTGTAAATGAAGAACAAAATGAAGAATTTGTAGATCCATTATTACAGGAAGATGATTCACCTACAAATGCACAGTTTGCTGAAATGGCAGCAAATATGGATTTAGATGCTTTGAATGCAGTAATGGCAAAAGAAAAGAAAATGCCAAAAAGAATGACTGAAGGTGAAGCTAGAAGAAATGCTCAGATGAAGCAGTTAGAAGCTGTAATGGAAACACAACAAGAAGAAACTATAGAAGAAACAATTGAAGAATCAGAAGAAGATTATTCAAATGAAGATATAACTATTGTTGATAATGAGAGTGAAGTATTAAACGACTATGAAGAAACAAACGAAGAAAACTAAAGTAAAAGAAGTAGTAGAAAAGAATGTCAGCGAAATTGATGTTGACGGTACAGTTACAGAAGCATTACCAAATGCTATGTTTAGAGTAAGATTGGATAATGATGCTGAAGTATTGTGTACAATCAGTGGTAAGATTCGAATTCATAAGGTAAGAATTTTGCCAGATGATAGAGTACAGGTTGGATTATCAATTTATGACATGAATCGTGGTCGTATAAAATTCAGATATAAAAATTAAAAATTATATATAATATATGATAAACTCGTATCACAGACTTAAAAAGAAACCAATTGACTGGGAAGAACTTGAGGAATCAAATCCTGAGATCTTTAAACTTATAATGCAACAAAACCAGTGGTCTCAATATGAACAACTACCAGACTTATCCGAAATTCCTATGGAATATCAACATATGATTCCTGAGAATATTCGAAAAAATAAAGAAGATACGAGGGTACAACATATCATGCTTACAAAATAACTTAGTAAGACACTTATTAAATACCAAACTTTATGGCAACTAAGTATATTTTAAAGTGAAAATAGGTAAACAAACATTCAATTTAATAAGAGGAAAATAATATGGCAAGTTACATGCAAGATAATTCAGGTTCCATTGATGCAGATGACGTAATGGCAGAAGCAGTACGTGGATATAAGAAGTTCTATCAGGGTAAGATGTATGAAATGAGTATATTGAAGCCTGTAGAAAAAGCCAAGACTACTCCAACAAATCCAGAAGATGCCCGTGAATTAGGTTTTAAGGAAGGTGTCGAAGTTGGTAAGCGTGAAGGTTACTTGGAAGCACTAGCACATCTAAAGAAGTTTTCGGATGGTTTGCCAGTGTAATAGGTTGACAACCTTAAAATAATTACTATATTTGTTCATGAGTTTATATGCTCATGAACATTTTTTATGTTCATTTATTAAATCCGTATAATACAGGAAGTTGAAGGAGATAAAATATATGGCATTTGGTTATAAAAATTGCTATTGGGATAGTTGGAATAAAGTGATGTGGCTCAAGGAACAAGATTCCGAAAATTGGGTCAAATATGATTATCAACCATTTTGTTATGTTCAAGCTAATACAAATACTGGTATTACAGACTTGCATAAACATAACATGAAAAGAATGGATTACAAAGATAAAACTGTTATTCAAACTTTAAAACAATCTAAAATGATTATTGCAGAATCAGATTTAACTCCAGAAGTTAAATTTATGCATGAACGTTATGATAAAGTACAATTAAAGCCTGATGTAAAATTATGGCATATTGGTTATTATGATATTGAAGTTGCATCTGGTTCTAAGTATTATGATGATGAACCAATTTTGGTTAAAGAATTAGCAACTAATACAGTTAAAGAATGGAAGCTAATTGAATTTGATAGATATTTCAATCATAATTATGACCATACAATTGAAAATAGAGAAAAAGAATACTTAGTATTTGATATAGAAGAACAAACATGGAAAAAGTATACAGATTCATGTTATGTTACAAATGAATTCCCTGCTGCAGATAAGGCATATTGGCCTATTAACTTGATTTCAGTATATTCAACTAAGACAAAGAAAAATCATACATTTTCTACATTAGGATATGATTTTAAAAAGGGTAAATGTCCACGAGAATTATTACATCAATATAAAGATGAAATTAGCATGCTTAAAGGTTTCTTTAAGTGGGTTCATGACCAGAAATTTGATATATTGACTGGTTGGAATAGTGTTAATTACGATATGCCTTATATATGTAATCGATGTGAACGATTGAGAGAAAAACTTGGTGTACATACAGAATGGGAAAGAGCATTTAGTCCATTAGGAAAAATGCCTGTAGAAAAGAAGAATTTTGATAGAAAACTTGCAGATGTTGATTTAGGAAGTACATTTACAATTCCTGGTTTATATCATTTGGACTATATGGAATTGTATAAGACATTTGCTGACCATCCACCTATGGCATCATTTGCATTGAATTTCGTTTGTCAGATGGAAATTGGTAAAGGTAAGTTGGATTATGAAGGTAAGATTAATGAAACTTACAAGATTGATGAAACACAGTTTACTGATTATAACCGAGTTGACGTAGAAGATTTCGTTGAATTGGAAGAAAAGAAACAGATTTTCCCATTGATTCTAGAATATGCTTATGATTGTATTGTTACTTTGGATAAGATTTTTAATAAAGTACCAACATCAGAAGGATATATTCTTAAGTTCTTACATAATGAAGGTAAAGTATTAAATGATAAGCCTGAAAAGTATGAAGACTGGTGGCGAAATGAAAAGATGTATATCGTTAAAGATAAGAATGGACAAACTTATTATCAAAACACAGAATGGGAAGAAGATGCAAATGGTTATCCAAACTTTAAGAAATATGTCTTAAAGAAAAAGTTTATTGATGGTGTAGATAATAAGGAAATTCTAGATGATGTATTAAGTACATGGCATGAGGATAAGAAGAGAAATAAATCAGCATGGCAAGTATTTGAAGAAGAAGCAAAACGCGATTATGCAAATAATGATTTACATCCATTCCCTGAATTTCAGGTAAAAGCAGGTTATTGTTTTGATGATCCAGGTCGATATGATGACTGTATGAGTTTTGATATTACATCTTCATATCCACATCATATTATGCAATTTAACATTTCACCAGAAACAGTATGTAAACATCCTACAAAGGAACAGATTGAAAGTGGTGAAGTAATATTGACAGATGTTAATGGCGTAGGATTTTATAGAACTAATGATGCGATTATTCCATCAATTGTAAAGAAAGTTTTTGCTGAACGTAAGGAATATAAGCGATTAAAAGCAGAAGCTGGTGAACGTGGTGATACTGTAGAAAAGATGCGTTGCCATAACATTCAGTTGAACAAGAAAAACATCATTAACTCTCTATATGGTGTATGTTTGTCACCAACATTCCATTTGTATAATATAGATTGTGCAAGAGCAATTTGTAGATGTGCTAGAGTAACACTACGAGATTGGTTAACTAAATGTTTGAATGATTATTATAAATCTTCATCATTTATTAAGGACGTAGAAAAGTATTATGGTATTGAATTAAAGGATAAGAGTCCAATTAGTTTTAATGACCATTTGTGTAGTGCAGTACATAATGATACTGACTCTGTATATTTTACAATTCATGAAATGAGAGAAAGATTGGCAAAGGAAGGTCTTGTATATAGAACTGAAGATGAAGTAAGAGAATTCTTTAAGCATGCTGAAGATATATTTCAGGATTTCTTTGTTAAGGTATTGGAAATAAGAGCACAGAAGAGTAAGACTGAAAATAAGATTAAATTCAATAGAGAAAATATATTTACATCAATGTATTGTTTTGCTAAGAAATTATATATTGGTAAGATTATTGATAGTGAAGGTGATTTATATCCTATTGAAGAAATTGATTTGAGTAAGTATACAGAGGAAGAAAAGAAGAGCTTACCACTTCATTGGTTGGATCATCCTGAAGGTCCAAAGCATAAGATCATGGGTGTTCCTATTAAGAGAAGTGATATGCCAGATTTTTGTAAGGAAGCTGCAGAAAAGTTGGCATTTGATATATGTAGTGGTATGAAGTATGAGGATGCTCGAGATAGTGTAATTGCAACATATAAGGAATTTTGTGAAGCAAGTACAGATGTTGTGGCATCTAAGAAGAGTATTTCAAATTATAAGAAATATATCCCACATGATATAGATTATTATTTGAAGAATGGTCTAGTATTTGAAACAGGTATGACATTTAATGCTAAGTGTAGTTTGGCTTACAATTATATAATTGCTAAGAATAAATTTAAGTTGGCACCTATAAATAATAATACCAAGTTCAATTATATGTATGTTAAGCCAAATGAATATAACATTGAAGCTATAGCATATATAGGTGAATGGCCACAAGAATTGGCAGCTATTTTGGAAGTTGATTATGAAACTATGTTCAGAAAGAGTTATATTCCTCTATTTGAAAAGATGTTTAGAATTTCTAAATGGATTGGTCCTAAAGAAACTGTACCACTGGAAGTCCCTGGTATGTTTGAATTTTTCTGTTAAAGAGGTAAACTATGGAAACTTGTGAAATTTGTGGAAAAGAAGTAAAGACAGCCTTTGCATTGAAGGCACATATGAAAACACATGAAAAGAAGATGGATGAATCTAAGAAAGCTGCAGCTGCAGCAGAAAAGATTATTGAACCTTCTATGATGACTGAATCTAAGGAATTGAAGGAAGTATTAGCAAAAGCTGAAAAAGAATTTGTTAATGTAAATGAATCGAAAGATTCGGATTTAGTTCAGACATATCGAAATCCTTATAAGGAATTATATAAGGATGAAGGTGAAGTCCAGAATGAGTGGCTATAAATTTTAGATTCATTTTGATCACACCTTGTTTACAGGGTGTGATTATTTTATTATATTTACTACATGTTTAAAAATAATAGTGAGGTGAATAATGGCTAAGTTTAGTTTTAAAGACAATATTAAAAATATCGCACGTAAGGGTTCATTAGCTGATTTGATTGCTAATGAAAATGAACCAGATGAATGGCTATCTACAAACGTTGTAGTTATGAATCTTGTGTTTAGTGGACTTATGGATGGCGGTATCAAGAAAGGTAAGATAAACACAATTTGTGCTCCATCTGCTGAAGGTAAGTCTTTGATTGGTCTAAATGTATTAAAGTCTGCACAGAAGGATGGTATGGATTGCGTAGTTATTGACTCTGAACGTGCTTTCCCATTTGCAGTTGCTCGTTCTCTAGGTATTGATATGACTGACATTCCTGTATATCAGGCAACTTCTATTGGTGATATTAAGCAGATTTATGCACTTATCAATGATGGTGCAAAGGCAAAAGAACGTAGAAATATTTTCGTATTATTCGATTCTTGGGGTCCACTAGTTTTTACTGGTTTATTGGAAAAGGCTGAAAAGGGTGCTGATACAGCAGATATGGGTAGAACAGCAAACTTCAAGAATGAATTGGCAAATATTATTAACTCTTATGGAAATACAACATTCTGCATTAACCACGTTTATGATTCTTTGCAGATGTATGGTGAAAAGTTCTGTATTCCAGGTGGTAAGAGATTGTTCTTCTTGTCTGATGGTATTGGTCTTGCTTTGTCAGAAGCACAGTGGAAAAATCCTGCTGATGATAGTTATTGGGGTAAGTTGGTAACTATGGGTGTAAAGAAGGGTCGTTCTGCTCGTGAACGTGCAAGAGTACAGTTTGGTCTTCGTGCATCTGGTGCTTTGGACCCATTCTATGGATTATTTGATGATGCTGTAGAAGCAGGAGTAATTGAAAAGTCTAAGCCAGGTCGATATGTACGTAAGTTTGAAATTGTAGATAAGAAGACTGGTGAAGATTTGTCTGATATTGATGTAGTTACTGGAGAAGTAAAGAAGGAATGGTCTGAAGTAGATATGTATGATCCACATAAGGAACCAATGTTCTGGATTCCAGTATTCCAGAATCAGACATTTAAGGAATATGTTCAGAAGAAGTATACTTATGAATCTGATGATATGATTTCATCTCGTTATGATGTTGTAGATATGATGAATGGTGTACAGGCAATTCCAACTGAAGAAGACTTATATGAAGAAGTAGAAGATATTCGACCAGAGAATTCTAAGGAAACAGTAACATTAGAAGATATTGGTGCTGTTCCTACTTCAGAAGATGTGGTTGAACCAGTACAGGGTACAAAGTCTAAGAAGAAGAAGGCTAAGAAGTAATGAAAGAATATGATTTCGAAAAAATCGTAATCAAGTCTTTAATCTCTAATGAATCGGTAAGAAATAAAGTCTTACCGTTTCTTAAAGATGAATGGTTTGGTTTTGATATTGAGAATAAGATTATAGTTCAAAAGATTATTGATTACAATACAAAGTTTTCAGCAATGCCAAATGTGCTAGAATTAAAGCGCATGGTAACAGAAGAATCAACGTTGAAAGCTCTTGAAGAAATTGTATCTATAAATGATGAAGAAGTTCAGACTGAATATATTTTACAAGAAATAGAAGAATTTGTAAGAAGAAAGTTGTTATATAATGCAGCAAATGAAATGCATGAACATTGTGCAGGTAAAAAGTATGATGGTTCATTTGCCGATATAGTTGCTGATGCTGAAACATTCTCATTTGATACAAATATTGGTTTATCATTCTTTGAAGAACCACAAGTCTTATTTGAAGATATTATTACACATGAAAAGGTTTATCCAAGTGGAGTAAAAGCCATTGATGATATGATTGGTGGTGGTTTCCATGAAAAATCTTTGAATTTAATTATGGCACCAACAAATATTGGTAAAACATTGATGCTATGTTCATTTACTACAAATTTAATTTTGGCAGGTCATCCTGTTTTGTATATTACATTTGAAGATAGTGAAAAGAAAATTGCACAACGTATTGCTCAAAATTTGTATGATGTAACACAAGAACAATTAAAGTCAATGACACGTGAAGCTTATGGTTCACGATTTACTAAGGCATTAACAAAGATTGGACATAATAAGTTAGTAATCAGAGAATATGCAGAAGGTAGTATGAATGCATTAGGTTTGAAGGCTCTGATTAAAGAATTAAAAGATAAGAAAGATTTCGTCCCAGAAGCTTTAGTAATTGACTATATTGGATGTATGATACCTAATGGTAGAATTTCAATAAATACTAATGATAATACAAAGTTATTGTTAGTATCTGGACAAGTAAGAAGTATTGGTATGGAATTGGGTATACCAGTAATTAGTGCATCACAGACAAATAGAGGTGGTTATCAGTCTGCAGATATTGGATTGGATGATGTAGCAGATTCATTTGGTCAGACAATGAAGGCAGATGCTGTATTTGGTGTAATGCAGAGTCCAGAATTGAAAGAAGCAGAAATGTATTCAGTTAAATTATTGAAGACAAGATATGGTAATAAGAGAGGACAAGCTATAACAATTGGTGTTGATATAGAAAAGCAACGTATCTTTGATTTAATTGGATATAAGAATGAGAGTAGTTCTCAAGATGTAATGGATATGACGACAAATAAAGCTGTAGATGATGTCGTAAATGATTTTGCTTAATGGAGAGAATTATGGAAGAAAATAATGAATTAGTTTCCAGATTTTCAGAGGAATTCGATGTAGAATCTTTGGACACATCTGGTAGTAAAGATAATTTCTATGCTTATATGAAAAAGAATGGTATGGATTTTGATGATGTCGATGAAGTCCAGAAATTACCAAAGTTTATGGTAGAAATACCAAAAAATACAGAAATGTTTAATCATTTTAATAATGTATTATATCAGTTGAATAAAGAAAACAAAATTAGTATAATAGATAGTGTTGTTTATATTACCACTGATTTCTTAGAGCCAAAAGCTATGATGAAATTATTGGATGAAATGAATTTCTATTTATTGACTAATGAACTGAAAGCTAAATATAAAATTGAAAAAATTGATACAGGAATGTTGGAATTTTTTGCATGATAGTGAATAATTATCAAATTTACGCGATAGTCAGAAATTTAGTTGGATTAGATAAAACTAAGTCTTGTAATACAAAAGCTTGGCAGACTTTTTTGACTAAATCTACTGATGAAATTTTGGCTGAAGGATTTTATAGAACACCTGCTATGCAAAATGGTGCAGGAAGATTTACGGATGTTGCCAATAATATAAGTAGTGGTGTGTTTTCTTTGGCAGATTATTTGATTAGTATCTGTGTTGAATATATGATTACAGAGAAATTTCCGACTCTTAAATCATGTTCACTGGTTGACAAACGACGTGAGTTTTTTATATTTAGTAACAGAAGAGAGGTAATAGAACAGTCTAAATGGTTACGAGAAAAAGTAGCTAAAGAAAACGAAGGTCTATTTGCTTTCTCTAAACAGTACACTTTGTTTGAAGTGGACGATGATCAAAAAAATGAAATATACAAATTAATTAAGTCAAATAAAATAAATCCAGAGTTTTACATACGTGGATTAGGAGCAAATAAGTTTCAAATCGACGAGAGTAAAATTCAAGACAAAGAATATATGAAATTTGTCAAAATGGCAAAAATCATATTAAATTTAAAGAGGTAAAAATTATGCCAACAGTAAGAAGTCTAGATTCTGTATTTGCAGACGTTAAGAAGTCATTCCCAACCAAGAAAGTTTCTTTTGAAAAGAAGGATTATTCTATTCCTAAGCTTTTTAAGCCAACTTTTAAGGATAAGAAGTTCCAGGTAGTTTTGCGTTTCCTTCCTTGTAAGCCAGGTGAAGATTCAATGTATATTGAAAACAGAACTCATATGTTGCAACTTCCTAACGGTAAGTATTATGGATGTGACTGTCTAAGAAAGTTCGACAATCCAGAAGGTGAAGGTAAACTTGAATGTCCTATTTGTACATTTAATAATGCAGTATGGACGGCTTATGGTTCTGATGCTAATGTAGCTCGTCAAAAGGCTTTGCCTAAGTGGGCTCCAAAGTATTACTGCAACGTTCTTGTTGTACGTAATCCAAATGCTCCAGATACCGAAGGTGAAGTATTCCGTTTTGAATTCAAGCGTCAGATTATGAAGATTTTGTCTGAAGCTATGGAAGATAAGAAGGATGAATTGGATGGTAGTATCACTAAGGGTATTAATCCATTCTCTTGGTATGGTCCAAAGGATGCCGAAGTTCTTGAAGGAAAGGCTCGTGCAGGTGCAAACTTTATCTTCGTAGGTGAAGAAGGTCCTATGGGTCCAAGTTATGCTAAGTCTCATTTCAATGAACCATCTCGTATTTCTAAGGTTGTCAATGGAACTGTTGCCGAATTAACAGATAGCGAAATTGATGTAGTTGAATCTCAACTATTGTCTCTTGCAGAATTTGAACGTAAGTTGTCCGATGCACAGGATTTCAAGTCTATCTTGACAAATTATAAGAGAAAGAGCGGTATGGAATTGTTTGCTGAATTCCCAGACCTTTTGGCTAAGTATTCTAGTGGTCAGGATGCAGTTGTAGCACAACCACAGCGTGCTACATTCCAGACACAGGAAGTAGATGAT